AATTGTGATGGAAATATGTAGAAAGTGCCTCACACCAGATCTAGAATCCGTTTTGGAATGCCTTTTAAAATTGAGTTCCAGATTAATTTCATATATTCAAGTATCTGCTGGGAAACCATTTTTTTTAAAATCTTTCTTAATTATCAAGAGAATTACTTACTTTGAAAATAAATCATATTTTCTAAATTACGTAATAATTTCATCTTTCTGTACAAAGGCTGTGATTATTTAACTGCTAGTGAATTCTGAGAATATATTTATACTTTCTTTTACAAATCCTGAGCCTTCCCACATCTTCAAGCCAAGTACTACATTCTACTGACTCAAGCTGCCACTTTCTAGCCACTCAGACATGAAGTTTTGATGTATTCCAGGCATTTTTTAATAGATTTTTAAGTAAGCCAATCTACAGATGCAGATGAATAAAACAGATTGTGAAAATAAGAAGTAATTTTCAGGTTAGGTTGGAAGTTTTGGAGCTGAGGTTTGCAGCTGCCAGGCTGCTGTAGGTAGCTGGAATTCCATCGCCTTCAATCTTAGGTGAAGCTGTGATTGAGATTGCTGCAGAGATTTCTTTTGCTTGACTGGTGAGATAAAATCCCACTAGCCCTTATGGCAGCTTCCCGCTAAATCCTTTCTGGTTACTGCTTCTGTTCTCAGTCATCACAGACCTGAAGCAACTTCTGAATCAGGCTTCAGCCACTGTCTTGGGCTTGCTCAGCAGTGTATTTCTTCCAGGTCTCTGCCCATTTTCCAAACTACTGATAAGGCCAGAAATGAGAGAGGCCTTGCCTAATTGCCTACTCTGTCAGCTTGCTGTTTTTCTTGTCTTATGAGATAGCATTTTGTTTCCTTTTTTCTTCATGTGGTTTTCACCTTGTCCTTTGCATCTTTGATGATGTCCTTACCAGCCTAAGCTGATTTCAGTAGTTAGTTACTTACTTCATGCCTATTATGGGCTCTTTATGTTTTCTTTTTTTGAAGGGATTTGGGATGTCTGATCCCATTATAATTTATTCTTAGGTTTAAGTTAGCTGAAACTCTTACATCCTTGCAGGATCAAGACCTGATCTGGTAAATAATCTGTTAAAAAATCATTGTTAAATATTGTCTTTATGGCTTTTAGAACGTTTGATATTTTTCAAAATTGCTTTATTTAGCAATGGACTGCAGGTATTTTAGAAGTGTAAAATATTTGTTGCATGTAAATTTGGCATAGTATTTTCATGACTGAAAAATCTTACATTAAAATACACACTCTTATGAAATAAGGGTTAGATACTAATAACAGTAGGTTTTTGCATTCCATTTTTTGATGGTTTTCAGTGGAAAAGTAGAAAAGCCTATGCTTCACAGTCTTGTGTGTAAGAATCACAAATATACCCATAAGATATATTTGACTGACTAAGACAATCAGAAAGTTTGTGGCTGGTGTACTTTAATTTCACCATTGTTTATCAGTAAAACAAAGGTGCAGGAATCTTTAAAAAGACAAAACTGGATAGAAGTGAGTTAACTCAATCCAATGAAAGTCAAGCAAAGCTCATGCTGTGAAGAATGCAATAGAAAGAATAATTTTTACTTGACTTAATAAAAGTTATTATTAAATTTAAATTTAAGTTTGGATTTATTTTTTTTTTTGTCAAAATAGGATTTCATCCAATATGTTTTGACAGAGCCTTGAGCTATGAGAAACTACTGGCTGTAGATATTTTCTGCCAGAAAGATGAATCTATTTCCAGTAAGCTAGTTGCTTCATCTTGTTGGATACATGCTTGGGAATTTATTACGTCATTCCCTTAATCCAAACCAGTTGTGTACATATTTTGTAATTGATGAATTGCTAACAGTAAATAAATACTCACAGAGAATCAATTGTTAAGAAAAAAAAAAACATTTAACAGTATTCATACCAGTACACAACAGTGTTGTATTTACTGTGTCTTTCCACACAGACTACTGTCATCTAAGACTGTCATTTACAGCTATCACAACATTAAATATAAACTGTCTCAGATAAGAAAGCATTTGCATTCTAACTGTATGTCAAATACTTTTATCAGCACACTGAGCAATACTAGATCACTGGTCCTTGAAATGAGATGTCCTTAAATTTGAGAAGAAGCAAGTATTCGTCAGTCTGATTTTCCTCTACATTTAGATGAAATGTCTTGGTTAAGTAATATCTTTGAAGACTGGGTGTTTCTCCATTTCACTCTGATTGTGGTTGGCAAGTATAATTTGTTTTAGTGTGTTACCATAGCACAGTGTCTGTCTGCAATGTCCTTTCTGTATTTTCTTCATAAATGGATGTAACTTAAGTGTACTTTGGTGTGTTCTTTGAATTTGATTAATTATCTTATTGCTTTTATGTATGCATATATCTTATTCCTACCAGTGAGTACATATGATTCATGCAGTGAAGTGCTGTATTCTACTCTTTGAATGTAAATCAACACGCTCCTCTGCTTAACGGCTTTGCAGTGTGGGAGACAGCCAAATGACATAGACTAGAGTCTGCTTTTTTTTGTTCTTTAATCATTTTTATGTAAGACACTGGCAAGAATACTTTTTTTTTCTCCGTTTATAAACAGTATTTCATGCTTAAACATATCCATTTCTTTGTCAAAGTTATGAAATGCTGTTACACAATTAATTTTTTTTTTTTTTTCAAGATTTCCTGGTAGAAGCAGTAATAGAAGAGATAAAACACTGAAGGAAGGGAAGATAGTTAAGCAGAAAAAAATATCAGGCATAACCAACAAAGAAGAAACAGATGTCATGGAATCAGTAGATTCTTACGGTTTCAGGTCTTAAGAATTGCACAGATTATTTTCTTTAATCAAAAATCAAGCCTGATGCTCATCTGGATTCTATTGCTCGGGTGAAAGCAATAGTTTATGAGTAAACTATTCCTAAAGAGAGTCAGAGTAGACATCTGCAATGTTCTGATGTACATGTAAATGTGTTCAAGAATAGATACTAATTAGGATATGAAAGCTTCTTTCGGTGAGAAATGAAAAGACTTGTTCAACATTTAAAAAAGCAAAAAACAAGAAGTCAGTAAATGTTCCTTTGCAGTAGTGGCAGTGCAGTTTAGTATCCTAAAGCAGTAAACTTCTTGAAAACACAGCTCATATTTTTGTGGCCTTTAGTTAAGATTTAAATTTTATAGCTGGAGTTTAAGTAATTTTCTGTCAATCTTACCAGTGAGGCAGTCAAGACTAATAGGAAAGCATACTGTTTAGGGTCTGTAGTATTTTAAAAGGGGTTTTGTTCAGATGTTCTCCCCCCTCAGTCTCCACCCGCAGCCTCTACCCCCCATAAAAATGTTCTAGAATAATGGCTTTCTTTAAATTCTGTGTTTCAACTGATGGGTGCTGTTAGCAAAATTCTTCTGCTAGCACTGTCACCCACTTAGCTGAACTAACAGAACATACAAGTAGGAGTTTATCTTTCTATTGCCTGTCATCTTTGACTATGATGATGGTCTTACTACAGTCATCCTGGATTGTTAGGACTGTACAGAATATCACATTGCTTGTTTTTACTAATGTGGATATTCCACAGATTTTTATTGTAGTTATTGTGAGTATAGTCATTTTTTTTAGTTCCATCAATTTCACCCCAGAAAAACATATATCAGGTTTTTGTTTTATATCATGGTTTTCTAATATTCTAGGAAGGCATAAGGTGTAAATTGTGCCTGCTCCCTGCATTTTTCTATGATGTAATGTGTTCAAAGGGAAGTATGCTTTTATGGAAGGAAATACGGTTGTGCTGAATCTTGTGATTCATAAGAAGTAATAATTGAAAGCTGGATCATGGAATCACAGAAAGGTTTTGTTGTTTTCATTTGGTATATTTATGTCAGGAAAGAGAATTGAATGACTACAGATCTATACTACTGGCTTAGTCTACCATTATCTATTGGAAGTCACTCTGCTTTACATTAATTGAATATAAATTTGTCCAGTGTTATACCAGCTGTCCTTGAAAATTTTTGTAAATATTCCTCTTGTATTTTAAATATATTAGCATACTGCTGGAGAAATAGCTATTTGGAAAGAATTGCTAAGTTATGGACAGTCTGTCCTAGTGGAATATTCTTTTCAGATATTCTGTTCAGAATTTCTTGAATGGGTTCAAAATACATAGTTCCAGATGAAGGCCATTTTTGTTCATAATTCATACAAATAACTGCTTTTGGTATTTCAATTCTGATGATGGTTATGCTCACACCATCACAGTTTGTTAATTCTAGATAATTTTTAGTATAAGTAAGCAATCTACACGTGTCTGATTAATACGGTTACTGCTTATTGACCTCAAAACACCAAATAAGTTTTTAACACAGTAAGAAAATTAGGTTAGATGTCCTTCTCTACTCATCTATATCCATCATTATTCTTTCATATTTTTTATGATAAGACTTTAGATTTCAACACTATTGCAGAAAAAAAGAAGATGAGAATGTGTCATTTTAAATACCTTGTCTTTAGTTTATGTAAGAAATGTTTACTGTCCTCAATACATGGAAATTTTAGCACTGGCTACTGTTTCCTGGAGTACATGTTCTTCTTGAGTATTGTTCTTCAGAAGTGTTCATATTGTGATTATTAATACCATGTAAATATACAGATTTTTAAAATAAGTCAACTTTTTGGTTATAGTTGCGAACCTGTTTTCCTTTAGCATTTGGCTGAATATGAGGTGAAGTAGTCTGTCTGTAATCAAGCAAATTCTATTCAGCTCTTTACATCTGTTTACATGTTTTCTGAGAAACAGAGCAATTTATTTCATTTTAAACATAGTTTTAGAACTGAAAAAGGCAATTGAGAATGCCTTTGTATGTTAGTACAATTTCTTTATGCTTCGTATAAATGCTTATGGAATTAGAAGTGAAGATATTTGGAATGAACAAGTATCACCTCTGTTTCTATGATAGATGAATTAGTGAAACTAACATTTGTATTTTTTTTCTTTTTTTCAAACATTAGGGGGAACACAGAGATTACCTCGTACAATTGGAGTATCTTTGGCTAAAGAGCTAATCTTCTCTGCACGCATCGTGGATGGTGAGGAAGCAAAGTCAATAGGATTGATTAGCCATGTGGTAGAACAGAATGAAGCAGGGGATGCTGCATACAGACGAGCACTAGCTCTGGCAAGAGAATTTTTACCTCAGGTACAACAAATTATTTTGTTCTTAATTGTTAATAAATATTAACACTAGAAAAAAGAATCTTCTGTATTCAGAAAAACTGTCATGAAGTTACGTATTAAGAAGCCACTCTATTTATATAGAGAGCAATGAAAAATTATCTTTTTCATTTATTGAAAGGTATGGTTACTTGGTAAGAATTTCAGTGAAGGAAATAAACTTTGTTAATACTTGTGTTGTAGTGTGTGTTTGCATTGTATATTTCGCTTTTAATGCTTTGAACATTAAAATAGCGTGGTATTTTTACTATAAAGCAGTTATTCAATATTCCATTACTGTTGAGCACTTCAGAAGAGACACAAAAGTGTCGTTATGAAAGTGAGTGTATCTCAGTGTAGATTTTGTTTTGAAAACCTTGAGTGCAATTTCAGTATTAAAGCAAAACTCATTTGGTACTGGAAAGTGATCTATTTGCTTTCTGTCCTTTGTGTATATATTTGATTAAAGTATTATGCTTTTATATAATTGATTCTTCATGCCATCTTATCTCTGTCTTTTACTAAAAGTGTTAAAATGGATTTTGCTGAATTTCTGGGCTTTAGAACTTAAAACTTTTGGTAAGAAGTTTAATCATGACCTTTACAGGGGTCTTTGTGTTAGCCAATTGCTACCTGTTCCATTATGCTATAGAGTGCAGGTTATTGTTCGCGGTGGGAGCTCTTGATAAACTTGCTTTCCTAGTGAGGCACCCAAGGTAGCAAAATTCATGGGAGATAGCATTAAAGAAAATTAGTAAAGCTCTCTATCAGATCAAAAGTTTAACAGTAAAATTTTTCAATTCTATAATGATGTGCTCTTATAGTTGCCATTCTGAGCCTGGTTTTGATGGGAATCAAGCAATCTTGACAAAAGAGCATGTAAGCCCAAAACACTGTCTAAGTCACCATTTCTGAAAACAATATGCATCTTTGATATTTTCTCAATATTGAAAGAAGAAAAGTTTGGAAGAAAGTAGCTACTTTAGTCATATATTTTAGGATATTTTACCTGTTTTATAAATTTCTAAAGTCTAGAAGGTACCAGCACAGGAACATTAATGTGCAGGTTGTTTACTGCACAATCTTTTAGAATTTGACAGTGTTTAAATAATCCTTGTCTTTCATTTTAGGGACCAGTAGCAATGAGAGTTGCAAAGCTGGCCATTGATCAGGGAATGGAGGTAAGGACTTGTACTTCCCATAAGTATAATCAGAAGTCAAATAGGCAAGTTTACTGTGGTGATATTTATTTTTTTTCCTAGAAGTGTGTTTAGTTTCTCAGTTAATAGCCTTTCAAAATCCATTTGGTCACAACTTTTTTTGAAGATTAAATGTAATACTTTCATGTCTGTATTTATTGATTCTTAGCTCTTGAGAATAGAATGAATGTTGATTTCCACAACAAGGCATAGTGATCCCACATCTGCCTAGGTGTAATGCACTTTGCCAACTATTAATTCCAGAAGGTAAACATAGACTATTATGAACAAGTTATATTACAAATATAAATATGCAGGAAAAAATCAATTCTGTCAAGGCTCTCAGTTTAGTGTTTATTACATAGTAAAGACCAAGAGATACCTTTTTGTATTTTTATTACTTTCATAGAAACTACTTTTATAATTATATCTGAAGACCTATTTCATATTTCACTCTAATTGCCACCCCTTCTTAAATGGTAGTGAACCAAGTTCTGAAGTTCCTTAAATACCTGGCCTGAACACATCCAGACGCATATTTTACTTTAGGCTTGTGAATTGTTGCTGAGCTCAGCAGGACTATTCTTGCTTAAAATTAAGCACATGAATAAGGTCTGCACCAGAACACCATGTAATTCAGTGTGGGAAAGCTGAATCACATGCAGAATCTAAATCCAGGAGTACGAATTAAGAATATTTTTCTTTTCAAAGTTGCAGAAACAAATTCAAGAACTCTCTATTATCATGTAGTTCAGCCTTGAGACTGAAGACAAAATCTACTGTATCAAAAGCGATGAAGCCAAATGTTCCTACCATTGCTAATAAAGGCAGAGATTTCATGGCTTCTCTAGGTAGTCTTTTTAGCTTATCTTAACTTGACAATCTACTTGTGTTGCATAGCTGCCACAGTCCTTTCCCTGGCCATTTGGAAAACTGATAATTTCTGCAGCAGCTGACATTTTAGAAAGGCAGAGAAGTACTGAGGAAAAAGTCGTTTCAGTCATTCCTGAATGGCCATTTCAGCTGTTTAGACCAGCCCACAAAGAAAATAGTTTTCAAAATTAGGTGATGGTGCAGGATCGCCACTGGCTTCATTTACTTTTTGAAATCCATTTAAAATTGAATTCATGTTAAATTTTTAGCATGGCACCGTTTTCTTATAAGAATTTTTGAAGACACTTTCTTCAGAGTGATTTTGGAACAATCTTGCAGTAAATCGTTTTTCCCTTGTAGCAGTTGAAATGATTAAAAAGTGCATGTGTGTAATAACTTTTAGTTCTGATCATTTGTAAATGAAGAGCGTACATTGTTTTGACAGTGTGTTGCATACAGTTTTATCACCATATACAGGAACCGTTCCAGAAATGCAAGGCACTGTTACCACTTGGCAATGAGATATTTCTATGTGAAGTAGTGTAGAAGAACTTCATAGACATGTTCTATAGTTTGGCATATAGAAACATGGTATATAAGTTAGCTGATAAGAAATAATGCACTTGAAATGTACAAAAATATGCTTTAAAGAATGTTGAATTCTTTTCCTCAGGTTGACTTAGTAACAGGCCTAGCAATTGAAGAAGCTTGTTATGCTCAGGTATGTAACTATGATTACATGAAAAATGTAGAAAAGAGGCTTTTCTTGAGTACTCTGTGAAGACTTGTTGTTTCTTCTACAAATATTTTGTCACTGTATTTATGCCTTCCAGTTAATTTTTTTAATTATTATTATTTTTTTTTCAGTGAGGAATTTAAGAAAGGAGGTGTAGGACAGAAACTGTTTGGCTGAAGGAAATTAAGCACAGTCAGTCCCATACTATGCCAGCTATGCATTGCTGTGCATCTATTCCAATTTGCCATTGATTTTTGGTTTAACATGTAACAGCATAGACGACACTTTACAAGCATGTGCGACTTCACAGCGTGCGTGCTTTCCAAAAGAAAATCAAGATAAGCATCTTTGCCAGCAAAACATGAGAATAGTATATTCTTATTTTGCGTGTTCTTGAACTTCATGATAAATTTTTGATGACAGAAACAGAAGCATTAGCATTAGAGATGCACCTACTTAAAGTATGCAGTGATCTGATTACAAACCACCTCCATTTCCCCCAAAACCCACCAAAACAGCCACATAACAAAGAAACCGAAAGAAACCAGCACATGAAAACCCTGAAACAAAGTCTAGAGATTCTCACTGTTATCTGTTCAGAGAAAAGAGACTCCTTCTCCCAGACTGTTTCTTAGCCTTACTGTATGCCTTTGAAGTGACTGCTACTTTCCTACATCCGACTATACATTGCAGTTTTCATTCTTCTGTTGTGCTATATTACAGGGAAGAACTGGTACAAAAATTTGTACAGAAACAGCTTTCTTGATTTATCTTTTTTTTTTTATATCTGTAATGAAATGTTACTCTGCTCTTTGCAGACTATTCCAACAAAGGATAGAATTGAAGGTCTTCTTGCGTTTAAAGAGAAAAGATCTCCTCGCTACAAGGGAGAATAAAAGAAGCAGATGCCTTTAAAATGAAATGGGGTATATGTACAGATATGAGGACCACTAAGATGCACTTTGCATCTATGCCTAGAATATTGCAACCACCAAAGTTAAAGCAAATCATACTGATGTTCCAACATCTTTTGTGTGTCCATGCTGGGGCAGGATAGAAATGTGTGCCTACTTAAGCTCATTACAGTATCTGAAGGCCTTGTATAGGCAAGGTCACAGGTTCATACAGCATTTTAAATATTCCATATGAAACTTACCAGTCTGTAATTTAAAAAAGCTCTTTAAATTCTTTATATAGACAAAACCTAAATATGATGTGAAGTATAAATCCGGTTTATCATTTTATCAAATATCAAAGTGACTGCCAAAAAAACAAAAATAAAAAATTGTACCAAATATGCATTAAAATGATTCTGTATATCAGTAAAAATTATGTCTGAATATTCTACCTGAATATGTACATTATAAATAAAGTGAAGAGAAATGAAAAAGATTATTGTTTGATAAATGTCAAATTTGATTGTCTAACTTATATTATTCTTAGTAAAACAAAGTTAACTTTTATGAGAATAGCACATAATGGCATCCTTTTGGTGAAGTCATGGCCAGTATATTCATTTAATTGTATTAAATGAAGATATCTTAGAGTCCTGCCTTACTAATGCATTATTATTCTTTAAACTGGCTTTGTCTTGCATTCTTCCAAAATATCATCTGATCGGTACTGTCTGCTGTTAAGGAACTTTATTTCACTTATCTTAGTTATTTTAAGTTTGTGGTGACTGTGTTAAGTACTTTTTGTGTGGGGATATGACTAATACGCTGCTAAAAAGACTAGAATTCTCTTCTATAAAGGACCCAGAATATCCTTTAAGAAGAGTCTAATAATGCATATTTATATACAACAGGGATGATAATGAAATGTTCTTTGTTCTGTGGCAGCCTCAGGGTTCTTTTCCTACTTTGAAAGAGAAATTCAGTAGGTTATGAGGTGAGAAAACAGTGGTGATTCATACTGTGTATTTGTTCTGATTGTGCTATATACAATAAATACCTGAAAACAAACTCTTAAAAAGCATTTTTGTTAACTTGACTGGAAAATAAGCGTATCTTAGCAATCAGAGGCTGTCTTTTTATAGAAAACAAATTTCTTTGCAGTTAGTTACTGTTGACTCATGAAACTTGTGCATGGTCTGCTTTTTCTGCAGGATGAACTGTGGTCAGTGTCCATTCTGTGACGATAAAGCAGCTGTTCAACATGAAATGACAAGAACTCATTTAAATTCACATTTAGGCATATCATTACATGTAAATCGGTTTTAACTGGTAGAGCACACACTTTATTAACTGGTGAACTTGCTGAGTTGATCATTTCGTGCATGATAATTTGCAAATAAAGTACCGGTGCTTGTTTTTATAGTCATATAAAGCCTTGAGGGTCATTTTCTCCTGTTTTTGAAATGCTAACATGTCATTTTCATTTTTACTAAGCAGGAAATAATTACGTTAATGAGATTTTAAAAAATACTAAGTCTGTGCTGACTGATTTGTGTTTGTGTATAACTTTGATGTACTGTCAGGTTATTGAGACGTCTCTGGTTTCTTAACAAGGACTGATTAAGTACTTTCCATGAATGTTTTTTATAACAAACTTAACTTCACATACTGTGGTGTAAGACGGTAGATTTGTGCCTTTAACTAGTAGTTTTGATTTCAGAAAATAATTTTGCTGTCATAGTCTCTATTCCTTTTCTAAGGAGAAGATATTGTTGGATTGTGGCAACTTGAGTCTCTTCTTTGAAGTTAAGAATTTGAATGCTATTTGAAATTGAGTACCATTAGCATGGTACTTAAAGGTACTATGTAGTGATATTGCAATAGAGGAATTTTTGCAAAGAATGTGTTGAACACTTACTGTCTCTGTTCTTAGGTAACTAGCATTATGATGACTTTCAATTGCTCCTAGTAAATAGCAGTGTTAGATTTCTACTTCCATGAAAGGATGGTTTGCAACAGAAATGCTCTTATAAAGCCCCTTTTTTCTCCACAATATCTCAATAGTAAATGGCCCCTGATCTCTTCTGATTTCCTGAAGGGTTATTTCATGGTCCCCAAGCATAAGCAGCTCCTTATCCTTGTTTTTGCTCAACTGAAGTGGATACTGAGTTGTTCTGTACTTCAATACTGAGTTCAGTATCAAAATGTTATATTACAGGTAGATCAGTTACCTTGAGCCTCTCAGTGGTGTAAGTTCAAGTGCCAAACAGTCCGGATATTCTTGCAGAAGTTAGTGTGTGAATTTATATAACCCATATACCTCATTTTTGCCTCTAACCTATGAAATCATTAATATGGAAGTAACTCATGTCTCACTACTTTTACTAAGTTTCTGGATGAAGTTTTAAGAGTTGTCTGAATGACATCAGTCACTTCAATGCCTTTGAGTATCTCACCTGCTATGAAGAAACCTGGTCCTTTATTCTCAGATTGTGTAATGATACACTTAAGAGCACTTGGAGAATGTTGTTTTGTCTAACAATCTGTGGAATTTGTAGAACCATTTGTGCCGGGTTGTTGAAATTCTGTCAGTCTATGCACAATTACTCATAGTCCTAGTTCAGTGTTCATATCTGCTTTTTAGCAACTGCTTTTAACTACTTGCATTCAAAATAGTAAATGCTAGGATGTAACATTTGCAGCTGTTTCATATTTATGTCAGTCGTTGTTCTGTGATGTATCTGTTGAATTCAGCAGAAACAAACTGGTCTCTTCTACAGAACAGAGACTAGCTTGAATTTGTCTTCGGAAGACATGGGAAGTAAATTAACGTGTTCAGTATTACTGGTACTTCATAGTACCAAAAAACAGCTCATAGATGGAAAATGAAAGCAGTGATTGACGTATCTTAATTTATCACCAGTTTAGTTTTTGTTTCATTACTTCTCCATGTAAGCAAATACCTGGAAAGGTGTCTATTGAGATTAGTCAAGATTTATAATATTCAGGAAAAAAAAAAGTTGGTATTTTTTCTGGTGTAAACAGAACAAGATGTACTTCCATCTCTCATTTATGAAGTTTTACACACATCCAACCTAGTGGCACTGCTGAAAAGTCATAGGACTCAATTGTCTAGTGAAATTTGTACATTTAATGCACTTACGGTGTGATGACAGTGCAGCTATTTTAAGATGTTCTTTTTCTGCACATTTCTAGAAAAGCATCTATTTCCAAAAGTGAGAGAAGGAGAATAGTTGTGAACATATAAGCCAAAAGGAGAGATGTGTTCAGTTAAAGGTAATGAAATTCCTTTTGGGTATTTTGAGGGATTCCAAATACTGCTTTTTCAATCATGTCTTTTTTTTTTTTTTTCTGTTAGATTTCATTTTGTCAGTCTGTTGCTCAGGTAAGCACACAGGAGGAATCTAGTGACTTATGTGGTGATTTTTTTTGTTTGCTCATTAAACATTGATGTTTTATAAGCAAAGTTAAAAGAGTATTAAAAATTATCCCAATAGATTTTTGAGAGATTTGATTGTAAATAACCATGTTATCACCGAATATTTGCGAAGGCAAAATTTTTATTATTCAATCTTGAAGTAGAATTGCATGTGCGCTTCCTTACTTCTGCAGAGTGCAGTGTGTTAGTACAGTGTATTCATTGCAGATTATAATACAGCTATATAGAGATGCCATCTACAAACGTAGGCTGCTCCAAAAGTAATGCCTCTTATTTGTTACCATAGAAATTACAACAGCTGCAAAGAACACAATAACAGTACTTGATAGAGCAAGTTCTCAGCTATAGAACACTATTTTTCAACACAGTCCCTACTATTGGCTGTGCATTTTCACCACTGATGGACAAGAGCCAGCATGCTGCTCTTGTAAAATCTGCACCAGTAGAGGTGACCTGTTGCCATTTTTTCAACACAGAAAAATCCAATGGCATCCCTTTGCTTCATGTGCACTTCCATGTCAAACACCATTTTGTTAGACTGCTCCTCTGCTGCCATCTGTCACATGGCAACAACGTGTAACAGAATGTGGATGGGAAGATTCATCTTCTGCTACCATACTACCAACATCTGGCTCTGGCATCGTGGGCCAATGTAATAAGAGGCATTACTTTCGGAGCAGCCCTTGTATATATGTCTATGAGTGTGCATATATATACGTGTAAGTAAAATTGTTCTGACTGTCAGGTAGTCACAGAATCACAGAATTGTAGAAGTTGGAAGGGACCTCCAGAAATCATCAAGTCCAACACCCCTGCCAAAGCAGGCTCACTACAGCAGGCTGCACAAGCAGGCATCTGAATGGGTCTTGAATATCTCCAGGGAGATGGCACAGGCACGTCTGGGCAGCCCATTTTAGAGCTCCATCACCCTCACTATGAAAAAGTTCTTCTGCATATTGGTTTTAGAACTTCCTATGTTCCAGCTTATGGCCATTTCCCCTTGCCCTGTCCCCATAGACCACTGAAAAGAGGTTGGCCATAGCCCTTTCTCTCCCATACTTAACATATTTATAAGCATTACTAAGATCACCTCTGAGTCTTCTTTTCTCTAGGCTGAACAGACCCAGGTTGCTCAGCCTTTCCTCACAGGGGAGGTGCTCCAGGCCCTTTATCGTCTTTGCCTCTCTGCTGGACCCTCTCCAGGAGAAAAATAATGGCAAGCCCTTTCAGAATGCAATAGTAGTATGTTATTACAGGAAGTTTTGAATGTATTTGTGCAAGAGCGCTACCAGCAAAAACCTTGAACCCTCTACGATATGTACTGTTGCTGTTCCAGGTGGCTATACTTACTGTATTTCAGAAATTCTTTTACAGAAACAGCAGTCGAGTACCTGGGATGAACGTGTTTGTTACTGTGTATTTCCGCATATACATCTGGTAGTTCAAGGCTAGAATAAATGTAGAAGTCAAAGTGATTTCTAACTTTCTGCAAAGGCGTGGCATGCCAGGCAGCACATTCCTCCCAGACCTACAGTTTGCTGCCATTTGCTGCAGTTTGGACAGGTCTGCAGCAATCATGAGCATCTCATAAATTAGCAGCTGTCATAGGTTGTAATATCATTCTCCACCCTTCCTTTACTAAGTCTAGACTTACATTTCATCTTAGAATTTTATCTAGTAGATAATTCTTCCAAGGACATTCATTCACATGGGAATAAATATGAAATATGTTAAAAGAATTTATTTTAGAGGTTGTAAAGATTCTTTGTCAAAGCTGTCTTACTATAGTACTTGAGTTCAAAATAGTACATTAACTCTTGAAGGTATAGTCTGTATATATATATAGATAGATAGATTCTTCAGAGTTCTCTTTAGTGACTACTTCTCTTTGATTATAATCTCTAAAGTGTATGCTAATAAGGCTTTTGTAGCATTGAAGAGGTGAGAATATGTTGCTGTTTTCATGTTGTATAATAATCATATAGTCACTTTCGAAAGGACATGAAGAGTTGGGTTTTTTTTAAGCAACATACAGCAAATAGTTTCTTTTTTATTCTTGCAATTGCTAATTGATTTAACATTTTCATTTAAGCATAAGGGACTTTGTGATATCATCTTTGGCTCAATTCTTTCTAGCATGTTAAAAAACCCTATGCCAGTTTGTACAGATTCTTTAGAAAACATATCTCTTTCGTGTAGTTTAGAAAGAAAGTTTAAAATTTAAGTTACAAGGATAGAGTTTTGAAGATTGTTTTTTCATTACATGTAAATGTTAATAATACATCTGTATGCTTGTGAGGAAAGAGTTTGACTCTGCATTTTTTATGTATGAAGTCCATTTTGGCAGAAGTTCTCTTCAAAGCTGTTATGTAGCTGAACTGTTAATATAAATTAAATATATTCCTAGATAGTGACCAAAAAACCTGGCACATGTTGAATATAGTTTTGGCTGTTTTCTTATAGCCAGCCACCACAAAGTAGCAATAAAAAGGAGAGAAAGAAGGAACATGCTTCAAAGCAGCAGTGGATCCTGGAAGGGACTTGGACAGAAGAAGTGGTTTGCCTAGCGTGTTCAAGCTGCAGTGACTGTCACAGTGCACTTCGGCAC